AAAAAAAAACAAGGAAAAAGACCTGGGGTGGCCCTGCAGCAATGTCTGCTGCAGAGTGCTGCAGAACTTAAGGAACTCACACCAACACCCAAGGCCCTCCCCAGGAGAGTACCAGAGTCCTGATTCCAGGTCTCCTTAGGCAGATCCTGCTACCTCTGTGACAGAGATGCCTGCCCTGAGCTGGTGCACACAGGAAGGGGCTTCTCCTTCTATTCATCCTCTGCATATAAATGCATCCCTGCTCTTCCCCCTGCAAGACCTCACTTCCCTGAGAGTCTTTCCCCAAGTGAGTGTGTGCAGACTGGCCTGACTGGCCATTTCCATTCTCCTGCAGGGCCTTGGACTGGCTGTGCCTCCCTGCAAGCTTTTGGGCCATAGGGCAACTCCACACTGTCCTCCTGGTCAGTTCTGGAAGCAGACAGCCAGACAGGGATCCTTACCCTACCTATTGTGCCAGTAGCTAAAGAACTTGTTTGGACACACCATGAGGCACCTCTAAAACATGAAAGGCATCTGGGTTCTGTACTGTATCCAGCCTGTGTTTTGAAGGTAGTCTCACAAATCATTCTCCAGGTTTTGCATGTTGGGCCCTCACAATGCRCTCTCCTGGCATTGCAAAGYCCTCCTTAGCCTGCAAATTCCTCAGAACACCATACACAGCCTTATCAGTGATGATGATGTGCTACAGGGCATGGGGGTGGGCACGAACACCTGCTGCTTTTCTCCACAGGGATGAAGGTATTGCCAGAAAAGACCTGTGGTATATCAATGCTGGCTACATGGTTCTGGGGGCAGTGTGGAAGGCTTGGGAGCCCATGTGATTATTCTTTTCCTTCCTGATGATGATGGGAAGGGGCATGAGGAGAAATGAATTGATCCTTTGGGTCAACAGCTGGTGTTGCAGCTGGTGTCAACATCAGGATTTTTTTTCTATGATTCTTTCAGGATCAATGGCTGCTTACAAGAGATGGGTTCTACCTAAGTGAGAAAGAAGATTCTTAGCCAAAAGGTTGGCCAGACAGGTTAGGAAAACTTCAAACCAGGAATGACAGTGGAGGAAGAAAATGACCAACACTCAAGTGAAGTGGTTGGTGCTGACAAAAGCAGGATACATACTGGAATGAACTGAAGGGTCATTGTAATCAACAAACCATGGCTGAGCTTAACTCAGGCATACTCACACAAGGRAGTAAGTGCCAAGAGGGCAGCATTATTGTGAAAGCTCTCAAAACCTCTCCAGGAAGTCATCATGTTTCAAAAATGCCTGAAGTCTGGTGCACACATCATGGAGAATGAAGAGTTAAAAATAGAGATCTGTGTCAGGACTGTGATCTTATGGGGAGATGTGGTCAGTGCTGCAGAATACTGAAGCTAGGATGTGCTAATGGGTCTGCACCTCAGTCTACAGACAGCACTAACATCACTTTTATAGTCTCATCAGAGGTCATGGGACCTAATCCTTAGGACCTGCAAGCCCAGAGGTGCCCTTGGAGAGTGCCCTGACCTGGGAGGGTGCTGGAGGGCAGAACTGGGCATACCAAAGGTGGRATGGGGTCTGTGAACACTGACCAGGAAAAGATGCTGGGACAGAGAAACAGCTCCCTTCAAGCACAGTTCCAGGCAGCAGAGATGGGCAGGGGTTGAGAGGGAACTGC